TGTGGTGCTGGAGAAGAGTGTTGAACATACCATGTACTGCCAAGAGAACAAACAGATTCGTCATCGAGAGGGTGAAGCCAGCCTGCTCCTTGGACGCAAGGATTCTGAAGCTTCGTCTGACATACTTTGGACATGTTGTAAGGAGGGACCAGTCCTTGGAGAGGGATGTCATGCTTTAGAGGGTGGAGGGACAGCGCAGGAGGGGAAGACTCTCGATGAGATTAATTGATTCAGTCACTGGGGTAATAGGGGTAGGTGTGTCAGAGACAATAAGATTGGCACAGGATAGAGCAGGGTTCAGGGCTATTGTATGAGTTGCAGGCGACTCGATGGCACATAACAACATTAGGAGTTGTACTCGACTCAAAGGCAATCAACAATTATGAATTAGGGAGCTCTGTGGCATAGAGGTAAGAATCTGCTCTGCGTTCTTGAAAGTGCATAAAGCTCAGGTGGAAATTTTTTTACTAATTAAGCTAAACTGTTATTAAGTTTCAAGAAGACATCAAAAGTTGTTTCTAGCTTAAGGTTAAAGACAATCTCATGGCAATAATTTCAGATATTCATTTGACTTTCATTGGATGTCTGGAGTTCATAAGAATTTGAAATTCTGTTCTGCAGTTACCCCATTTGTCCCTGGTTCTTCTGTGGCATTTTTTATCATAATGTTTAGTAATAGTAACCAGGCTTACTAACGGGTATTTTCAAATCGTGGTAATACCCAGGCCTGGGCAGGGTGACATGAAATTGGTATAATTATATGCAGTTATTGGCCTTGGAATTTGATACAACCATTTCAGAAAGTAATTTACAATTAGAAGTATGCTCAATGAGTCATAAAAATGTTTATCTCCTTAACTGAGACAATGGAGGTAGGTGTGTCAGAGACAGTGAGATCGGCTCAGGACAGAGTTCAGAGGGATTGTTCATAGGCTGGTTAACAAGGTGCAGGTCACTCGATGGCACCTAACAGTGACAGCAACTCTTTCACTACTGTTGGAATTTATCCGCACTGCCAAGAGAACAAACAGGTGTGTCTTGGAGAGTGTGACACCAAGTTTCTCCTTGGAGGCAAGGATTTTAAAGCTCTGACTCACGTATTTTGAGCACGTGGCCAGGAGGGACCAGTCCTTGGAGAAGGACATCATGTTTGGAAGGGTGGAGGGACAACACAGGAGAGGAAGACCCTGGATGAGGTGGATTGACACAGTAATTGGGGCGATGAAATTAGGTGTGCCCGAGTCAGTTTAGGGCATGATTCAGAGCTAGTGCATTAGAGTTGTTATGAGTTGCAGACAATTCGATGGCACATAACAATGACAACAAGTACCCAAAAGAAGACCATTAAAATAATCTAATCCTTGCAATGTTGCAGAATTAAAACTCAAAACAGCCCGAATTAGCAAACCTTCTATCAATAGAGAAATGTTTAAGTAAGTAGCTATTCAGTCATCATATTATAATAGGAAGGGCACTGTCCTGAGTTCTACTTTAAATAAAAAATTTAAAATACCACCAACACCACCACTAATGTAGTATAAAAATGTATCTTGACTGAGTTAGTTCACTCAGCGTAATGCTCTCCAGTCCCTCCCAAAGTTAGGTAGTAATTTAAAAAATCATTGGCTCCTGCATACTGTGTAGTATTCCATTATGTAACTGTACCATAATTTCTCAATCCATTCGATTATACTGCGTGGACTAATTCAGTCCCCTAAGGACAAATACTATATAAGACCATTATTGTAGAATGAGTATGAGGATCCAAGGAGGGGTGGAAGCAGAGGGATGAGGATGAGTGGAGAGGAGGGTTAATCATAGGGTTGTACAATTTAATGGGGGGGGGAGTGAAGGAAATGGGAAAGATCCAGAGAGACAAACAATGTATTTTAACTTTGTAAATAAACCACTATAAAAATAAAATTTTTAAAACTCTATCTTGATTTAGATCTAATTTTTTCTTAAACATCATTAACAATAAAAATGGGGAGTGGAACTAGAAATTCTAAGAAGAAATTTTACATTTTTTACCAAAAAAACACATTATGCCTCCCAATATTTTCCCAAAACACTTATGTAAATTTGAAAGTAAGTGCTATTATAATGTTGTCAGGTGCTACTGAGTCAAGTATGACTCATACTGACCCAATGAGCAACAGACTTGAACCTAGCCCTATTCTGTGCCATCCTCATCGTCTCTGACACACTTGAGACCATTGCTGCAATCACTGGGTCAATTATTTTCTTGAAGATCTTGCTCTCTTTCTCTGACTGTCCACCTTTCCAAGCATGATGTTCCTTTCCAAGGAAAACCTCTTCTAGCAACATGCCTAAAATAAGTGAGATGTTGTTTTGCCACTCTTGCTTCCAAAGAGCACTCTGGCTCTCTTTTCTCCAAGATGTATCAGTATGTTCTTTTGGCAGTTGATAGGATATTCAGTACTCTTCTTCAACACCACAGCTCAATGGCAGGAGTTCTGTCATCCCTATTCGTTGTCTCTAGGATGCATAACAAGTGATTAAAAAGATCATGACCTGAATCAGGTGTACTTAGTTTTTAAACTAACAACATTGCTCCTCAATAATTCGGAGAGGTTCTTGACTACAGATTTTCCCAATACATCTCCTGATTTCCTAAAATTGCTATTATAACAGTTGCTTCTAAGTTATTTGAGACAATTGCTAAAGGATGCAAAAAATGAAAACAGTATGTTAGAATAGTGAAATCATGACAATCTTCTTCCATTTTGTTGTTTGCGTAATTAAAGAACTTGAAAACAAAAGAGCAGCTCCCTTGCATACTTTTCAAAAGTAAATAAAGTGTAAATGATGTATTAGCACACGAATGAAGAGGAAAGTATTGAATCAAAAAAAGTGTTCACAGGGTATTTATGATATAATATTTATCAAGAAAAATATTCATTAAGTAAAAATAATAATAACAGGCTCTTGCTCATACGTTGTTTCATCAAATTCTTCTGTGTCAGCCAATTCTTTTTGGTACAGTGACTATGTATATTCCTTCCATCTTCTTTTAATGTTTCATGGATCATTTAATATTCTGCCCAAAGCATGCTTAACTATTGCAACTCGAGGCTTGAATTTGTTCTTCAGTTCCTTCAGCTTAAGAAATGCTGAGCGAGTTCAGCCCTTTTGATTTTCTGACTCCAACTCCTTGCATATTTCATTTTAATATTTTACTTTATCTTATGCTAGGGGCCTTTTGAAATCTTCTGTTCAGCTCCTTAATGTCTTGAATTATTCCCTGTGCTTTTGCTTCTCGGTGCTCTACTGCAATATTCAGAGTCTCTTCTGACATCCATCTTGGTCTTTTCTTCCTCCTCTGCCTTTGCATTCTTCATGGATGATATTCTTGATATCCTCCCACAGCTCATCTGGTTTTCGTTTGTTGGTGTTCAAGACCTCAAACCTGTTCCTGAGATGATTTTTAAGTTCGTGTGGTATAGACTCAAGGTTAAATTTTGGTTCCTGTGCATTTGATTTCATTTTCTTCAACTTCAGCTTGAACTTGCATATGAGTAGTTGGTGGTCTGTTCCACAATCAGCACCTGACCTTGTTTTCACAGCTGATTCTTTCCACAGACGTAATAGATTTGATTTTTATGCATATCATCAGGTGAAATTAATATGTATAGCTTGTGGTTTGTTTCTTATAAAAAGTATTAGCAATGAACAAATCATTGAATGTACAGAATTTTGTCATTCTATTTCCAGCTTCATTTCTGTCACCAAGTCCATGTTTTCCAACTACTGATCTTTCTTCCCTCTTCCTAACTTTTGCATTCCAGTCACCCATTATTATTAATGCATCTTGATTGTAAGTTCTATTAATTTTTGTCCACAAAAGTTGGTAGAAATCTTCTATTTCCTCCTCTTTTGCTCTAGGTTTTGGTGCATATATTTGAATAATAGTGGCTATAGTCTTTGCAATTGCTTCCTATGCATGAGAGAGCTGGACAATGACTAAGGATGCTAGAAAGAGAATTGATGCCTTTGAGCTGTGGTGCTGGAGGAGAGTATTGAATATACCATGGACTGCTAGGAGAACAAACAGGATTGTTCTGCACAGAGTGAAGCCAGGCTGCTTCTTGGAGGCAAGAATTCTGAGGCTTTGCCTGACATACTTGGGGCATATTGCAAGGAGGAACCAGTCCTCAGTAAGGAATATCATGGTTGGGAAGGTGGAGAGAAAGAGAAGACATCAATGAGATGGGTTGATTCAGTGACTGGTATAATAAGGGTAGGTGTGTCAGGGGTAGTAAAGTTGGCACAGGATAGAGCAAGTTCCAGAGCTATTGTAAATGGGGTCCTTGTGAGTCACAAGTGACTCAACAGCACATAACAACAACAACAAAAGGGCAAAATTTATATCTTATAAAACAATTATTACAAAACAGCCCTGACAAAGAGAAGCATATCTAAAATGAGGTGGTAGTTTAGGACATCAACCATAAAATACATCCTCTGATGTGTTATTAGAAGAAAACTAGGATGAAGTATGATTTGATATTAGAAGAAAGTGAAGGATGATTTGTTATGAAATGATAACTAGATAAGAGAGAACTTTTAAATGTTGATTACCTCTCATCCTAAGAAATTATAAAATGTTCACATCCTCTTTTCAGGAGATGATAAAGTTCTCCGGTTGTGGCATCCCAACATAAGCACCAAGCCGGTAGGGAAGCTGGTTGGTCACATGTTCAGTATCACCGAGATTGTAACGAATGAAAAGGATCAGCATGTCATCAGCCTTTCTTCCGCTAAGGTAACCCTAAGACAATAATAAACATCAAACAAAGGCTTTTCCCCCTAAGATTGATCATTGGAAATAGTAATTTGGCTGCAGTAGCTGATAAGCCCCAAACCAAACCCATTGCTATTGAATCCATTCTGACTAGTCTTGACCCTGCAGGACAGAGTAGAACTGACAGACACGTAGTGTTTCTGAGGCTGTAAAATAAAAAACTATTTTGACAGTTACATTTCCTCAACACCCCTGTATTCTACTCTTCTGTCTTCCCCTGCTTGTCTCTTATTTATTATGCTAGAAAAAAACTGATGGCCTCTGCATTTTTATTAGCAAAAAAATAAATACATTCCAATTGTACAAGTTCTGAGTACTATTATATAAGCTCAAATGCACTACTGTCAAGTTGATTCCACCTCATGGAAACCTTCCACTGGTTTCCAAGCCTGACACACCTTTGCAGGAGGAAACTTCCACATCTCTTTTCTGGAGCACCTGTTGGATTCAAACATTTTGGTTAGTGACTCAACGTGGAACGTATTATGTCACTGGTACTTCTTACATTAGCTGATATTGTTGTTATTTTTGTTTGCTGTTGAGTTGGAACCAACCCATAGCTGACCCTCCATCAGGTTTTCAGAGGCAGTTAATCACACAGAAGGAGACTGCCCATCTTTTTCTATCAGGTGGATTCAAACTACATGCCTTTAAAATTGCAACACAGTTTCTTACCGCTAGGCCACGTGAGCTCCCTTATTTTAGCGGTTGTTGTTGTTGTTGTTATGTACCATCAAGTCAGAACTGAGCCATAGCTGACCCTCTGGAGAGTTTTTCAGAGGCAATTAGTTGCACAGAAGGAAATTCTCCATACTTCTCCTGCAGAGCAGTTGGTGGATTTGAACTGCATGCCTTTGTGATTGCAGCGCAACTTCCTGCCACTAGACCACCAGAGCTCCCTATATTAGCTGATAGGGAGTGTTTATGAAGCAAAGGTTCCTTACCACAGTTCCATAAGTCACATGACTCACACATCTTTGTTCTTCTACATAGAAGGAACCTACGATTCATTAATGGTGAAGGCTTAAACTCAGTTACTAGGAAGAGTAAAACGTATGTTATAAGTGCCCCAAATTAGGGGTCAGTATCTCAGTACTCACTGGACGTGCTCACCAAGTTGTGCCAAGAAATCTGGAGAACGACCACTTGGCCAACTAAATGGAAGAGATCAATATTTGTTCCTATCCCAAAGAAAGGTGACCCAACAGAATGTGGAAACTACAGAACAATCTCACTGATTTCACATGCAAGC